AAACCCGGGTGTCTCGCCATAAACCCCTCAAGCCAGCTGTCCCCAGGGCCCTTGTCTGGGTCCCAGGGCACCTTGCGCCCGTCGGTGCAGATGTTGCGCACAGCGTCTCTCAGCTCCCTCCGACCCAACAGCAAGAAGTGTCGGGAGGCGTAGATCAAGACGTCTTCTACGAAATCTTCCTCCTCCTTGCTCAGGACAGTCCCGGGACCAACCCTCGCATCTATGGCCACCTTGTTCTTCACACGGTCGTGCAGCGAGGCTAGCGGTAACCCGTAGGTCCTCGCAGCAACGCGGAGCGACATCTCACCGCTGCGTACCGCATCTACAGCCTTCTGGGCCTGCTCTGGGTCTACTCTCTTACGTCCCATGCTTAGCAGCAGGACCCCGAAAAGGGCAAAGATGCCCCACATAAGGGGTGTGGGTGAGGGCTGTGCTGTATCTCGGGAGTGCTTGACCCGATCGACACGCGGAGGTGCTCAAACGAAAGCTAACGGAAAGCTGAATGAAGATTTCAAAAAAAAAATTGGGGGGCTCCGCGCATTGTGCGCCGAGGGACGTGCATTTGAAAAAAGTGTTCGTTAAAGGGGGGGTGTTCGTTAATACCCTGGTTTACTCTAAGGTTGAAGGCCGATAGACGTGAACTTCGGTGGCCGTGGTGGCGGTGATCTCGATTAGCTAGAATGTTGGTGTCACGGCGATTTGACGAGGAGGAGCTATTCGAAGGGTAGCGAAATAAGTTCAATGGGCTCATTATTTCGTCCTTTGGACCCCATAGTACGGGGCTGTCGTCGTGAGGCACAAAAAAAGTAACTGCTGTAGCCTTCCTTGTGACGAATGTTGGTAGAGGGCAACCTACATGGTACACGTTTGTTTTGGTTGTTTTTGATTCTACAATTAATTCATGGTGTACGCAGCTTGAGAGCAAAATGAGACACATGTCCTGTTGCCGTATTCTGGGACTTGGTGATTTGCTGGTCCTTCGAACGATTAGACTACGGAATCAATAACGATCTTAACCAAAATGAACAATGAACGGTGAACGCAAGTAAGCCTGGGTTTTCCCTGAGGTACATATCTACCAAGAGGAAATCTACCATGTGCGAGAGAGCGACAACCACCAGCACACTAGACTACATGTTGTGACTACGGGGCAATCACGTGATGCCGTTCGGCCGCAAGCAGATAGGCTAACAAAATGGGCGTGGGCGTTTCGTTTTTAACGGAACATCGTCATCCGTGTGATGATCATCGAAGGAGGACGCTCTGCCAGAGCTTCTCGTGTACAGCACAAGAGACGGAGAACACCTTTCGAAGTCCTCAAATGTGTCGGGAAAAAAAAAAATGGTCGCGTGCTGGGAGAGGAGGGGCTGACCGGAGGACCTGTTATCCTGATGACTACAAGCAGGAAGACAGTCGAAATTATACAAGGCGCCGAGAGAGGGAACGATCACAACATACGTTGCTGGTATCTCAATCCCCTTCTCCATTCAAGGATCCTTACACAAAAAGATGTGTCTGAGAGAGGGGCACGGGCACAGCTACAGGAACACTTGGTTGGATGGGGTAACAGCTTTCGCGCAGCTCTCACTTTGTTCGCAAGCAGCCATGTGATCTATTTCTTGACTCCTTTCTTCCTTCCCTTCTCTGCTGTAAACTAAACCGTGTTTCACACGTGTGTCTGCGATTAAACGCACCCTTGCGTCCGTCCTTCCGCCTTCAGCAACATCAGTCGTCCTTTCGTCCCCACCCACACGGCCCTCCTGTTCTGCTGCGTGTCTAAACCTTAGCTAGGTTCCCTGACAACTCACGGCAGAAACCTCACCCACCCCACTCCCTATCGTCACGCCGCTTCCGTGTCCCCACAGTCAATCCCAAATCCCTCTCAACATAAAACCAACTCGATTGCCTGCCTCCGTTACATGTAGTTTGTCACCACACGAAGAAAGGAAGCTGCTCTTATCTCCTGCTCGTCCCTTTCCTTTCACAGCCAAAGGTTGTCCATGATCCAAGTCCAGCGCGAGTGCGCGCGCTTGGGGGTGGGGGAAGGGGGACAAACCACGCAAAAAACAACAACAACAGTGACCACCGCTCAAGGGATGGACAAGACACGTTCAGCGACAACAAAAGAGACCCCCTCCCGATCGAAAAACCGCGCGACTTAACAACCAGCCACGGGAAAGAGTTGCTATGACATACGTATGTGGCATCACGTTCTCTTGTGAGTACCCACGGCTCTTCCTCCGGGGCGGGTAGACCGCGAATGAAAACGTAAAGCAACTCATCCTCCTCCACGGAACAGCTGCCAAGTTCAAAGGCGTTCCTGGTAAATACCGGTAGTTACTGTCGGCACTGGCCGCGTCACACAAGAGACTCGTCTGCTTGTCATTCCTGGGCAGCTAGCTCGTCGTCATCATCCTCCCCTAGCGTGTGCCTCTCCTATCGCAGCAGCCGCCACAACCCCTCTCCATCCGTTCGCGCTCTTGGTCTACAGCGCCAAAAGAAAAACAAAGAAAAGCACAAGCAACGCGACTTCAAAGCTTGACCTCAGCCTTTATTATCATCACAAGAGACAGTAACCACTAGCTGTAGCGCCTAGAGTTCGACCCGGAACCCTGCCGCCAAGAGCCAGACGACCATCAAAACAACCATCATTATCACTACGCCTCGCACCAAGTCACTTGGAACCCCTCCTCCCCGTCCACCACTAACACACCCGAGCGACATAGACGAGAGAACCACACCGTTAGCGCGGAGCAGACCAAATGTCCAAGTTATCACAGATCCGCCTCAACCGAGCCGGCTGCGGCTGCGGCTGCGGCTGCAGCAGACGACACCGCTTCCGCGAACTGCTGGAGGTTCAAGACGATGAAGTACGCGATGCCGGCCAGCGGCAGCACTACCGACACCAGCGCGCCGGCGAGGAAAGTCCCCGCGCTGTCCTTGGGGGCCCCGTTGGTCTTGCCGTTCGTGCCGTGTCT